ACAGAGCTGAACCCCAGGCAAACCAACCGTTTTGATGTTTATAAAACACACACTGATCACCAGGTTGGGTCCACCGTCCAGTGATCTGCAGCGTTCAGTAAGAATCAGAGAGTTGGATGGTGGAACCGTGGTCGAGGCCTCCTGTGTAGAGCCCTCACCCAGGTTCAAGTTGAGAATAGTGAGGTACGGGAGCTGGCCTAAGTGGCCTTAAACAGAGATAACTCAGCAGCAGTGAGAAAGCTAACGGGGCAATTAGGAGGCTGATTCATTTGTTTATCTGGGTGATTATGCTCTACTTAGTCGAGTAGTTTGTAAGTGTTCTGTGGTTCAGGAAATTTTCCCTCACAGGCTCATCAAGTTCACATCCTTCCATGTGCCCAATATTTCCACAAAAGAAAAAAAAAAACCATGCTAAGCACAGGGTATGGGTTTCGGTGGACCTTTATAATCATACACTTGCTAAGATAATTACGATAAACAATGCATACCAAGCCCCACACCGAGAAGAGCTGAAAGAAACATACAACTGTGGCTGCTACCATCTTTCGAAGGAACTACAGAGGAAGGCACAGCCTTATTGAAATTCCTAACTCGGGGCTTCCCAAGCAATGTTTCGAAATCTGTCATTTAACCTGTGATTGTAGAAATCTGTCATAGGTTAACAGGATTTTGCAGAGGGAAGAAACGTTCTAGCAATCACCTAGATTTGGGCTTCTCGAGTCAATATTTCACAGAACTCTGTACAATAAACTCTGGGGACTACAGAAAACCTATTCCATGGATCAAATTATTTCTGGAGAGATCCCAGGTTAAGAAAGTTAGATAGGTTTCTTTACTGCAGGGTGTGGCAGGTTAGAGATGGCCACAGATTGGACACTGTTAGGCCTATGTCCTCTACGTGGCTCTGGTGGGCTCTGTCTCTGACAGAATCCAGCAGAAGTGATGCTGTACCATTGCTGAGCCCAGGCCTTACGTGGCTGGTGACTTTCAAGTCCGGTCTCTTGCTGGCCTTGCCCTTGAGGGCTCCTTGGCGGGGCTCTGAGTGAGCCACTCTAGGCTTGAGCCTGTCAAGTGGCCTGTGACTGTCGCTCCAGCCAACATCTACTGCTGCTGCTTGAAACCCAAGTGAGAATGGCTTCGCTGAGCCTGGTTCACCCTCAGCATCGAAAGATGATAAATTATTGTTTTTAAGCCACTAAATTTGGAGGTGGTTAATGTGCTGTCTAGCACATAGTAGGCAATCAATAACTATTTATTACATGAATGAGTGAGTGATATAAGTATAAATCTTTCAGACGGGGCTATGGCACGCCACATTCCCTAAATGGAACATCTGAATACTTTGAGACAAGTGTCACAGAACAGGACTGATGGGACACTAGTCTAAGAACCAGTAAATCAGAGGATTGAAGTGGGAGAGTTTGGGAAATACTGGTGTAGTTGTACCCCTATGTGTTATAGATTAATTGTACTTTATGTTATAGATTATGTTATATATATAACATTATATNNATTATATATATATATATATATATATATATATATATATATATATATATATATATGAAGAGAAAAAGCGAGATGAGAAAAGAGAGTTGCCTAAGGAAACAAAGCTGACTGGTAGGCTCCACTTGTGAACGAATTTTCCTTTCTAGCTGAAGTAAAGGAGGATGGACAAAATGGTGTCACTCATGTCACCACGGTTTAGCTAATGAAATACATCAGGCTTCTCACTGTGTAGTCCTCTTTCTGCTCTGTGATCAAGTCTTTGGTTCAACTGGCTGTTTTGCATGAGACCTCTCCTAACTGGTAGACTTCCAAAGAGGATATAAGAGGATTTGTCAGCCTGATGTCTAAGCTAAGCTCAGTTCTAGGAACAGCAAAACCTACAGTACCATCTTGGGCCTTTGGTTTGAAAACATTTGCTTGATGGAAATCCTTGCTTAACACTGAAGGGTCTGAAAGAACGAATTTTCAACTGAGCTAGTCAGTGAGGGATTCAGATTTTAAAGTTCCTTCGGTCTTATGTTACAAATGCCGTTTCTCTTCCTCCGTGTGAGCGGTAAATAAGATGATCTGAAGTTTGATTCCGTTCTTAAGACAGTCAATGTACTGGCGAATGTTAATACAGGTAGAGAGCTGGGATATAAATTTTTACTTTTCAAATCCATGACAGCTTATGCCACAGCTTCCTAATCAAGTCTCCAGACCCAAGAAACACTTCAGTAGTTGAAAAAAAAGTTTTATCTAATTATCTTCTTTTCCTGCTTTGAATTGACCAACCATGTATCTTTTTCTGGTTTTATCAAAGGGGCTGCCAGGACAAAAGCACATCCAATTTTAAGTAAGCTTCAGTTAGCAGACTTAAAATTGATCATGCATTTTAGTTTCAGTAACTTGCAATTTCTATACCCTTTGATAATTCACTTTAAAGAACAAACTGTCTTTAATGACAAGGCTTAAAAGAGACGACCTTTCTGAACAAAATATGAAAGCTGAGAAGAGAGAGTTCTTTTAAGGAAGCCATGAATTAAAATGACCTTGTGTTCTGAAACTTTTCTCCCACCATTTTTGATGTTTTACCTTTCCTTTCCCTTTTCTCTTAGAAAGAAAGCTAAAACACCATTGCCTTCTGTGGATGGTGATGCACTTCAATAAGGGAGCTGTTAATTGTTAATTCAAACTCTCAGTCTCTTCTTTCTGCACTTTCTCTGCGATTCCTTTAATGAGGTTTGCCCACCAATACTCTAAGCGTATTCCCGTTTCTGAGGAAATCAGTGTGAATACGTGACATTACCGCATAATGTTTGAATCTGAGCTATTTCCTTTGAGTCACAGTCAATTCTTTTATACAAACTATGAAGCAAGTCCATCCATTCTCTGCTCCTTCTCTCTTAGTCCTCCTTTTGTCTCCATTGTACCCTGGATGGCTGCCCTCTGAGGAGTTGATTGTTGAGGGGGGAAGGTTGCAAGATCAGGGGTCACACCCCTGAAATGGCTCACTGCTTGGTGACGCAGAAATGGTGGACTCCAACCAAACCATGCCATATGCAGATGACTGACGGCTAACTTGCACGTGAACCCTTCTCCTTCCCGACCCCATAGCTGGGACATAACGCACACCAAGAACCCTGTGATCCCACAGCTTGCTCCTAACGCTTTCTCAATCATTACCTGTTGACAATTACATGCTGAAATGTAAAAGCCCAGGTGGATGACTCAGGTGCCACAGCCAATAGGAATAACTTGAAATGTAACTAAATTAGGCACTTGTGATGAACAATTGATCTTCCTCCAGAGAAAAGAAAGATGAAATCTTAGATGATTTTATAATAAGGCACAATGTTTATAATTTATCTCCTGAGCACTTGCCTTTTCTCTCAGTAGCCATTTATATGCTCAGTGCTCAATTCAGTGAGGAATTTTAAACATACCCAAAGCAATTTTTCTTTCTCTTCCTTTATCAGCGAGAACGTTCACAAAAACATTAGTGTCAGCCACGTATTCCTATCACATACAATCAACCTGACCTAAAGTTTCAGTCCATTTACTCCCAGACACATATGATACGCTTCTGAGAGGAAACAGGATCTGGGTAATGTCAAAGGTTCACCAGTGTTTGTAATTTCATAACCCTTGAAATAAGGAAAAGAAAGAATAGCAGGCAACTTTCCAAAAACACCTACTGATATTTACTCATGGAAAACAAATATTCTTGAGTGGGAGTTCCAATTCCAGCATACAATACAATTCACGAAGTATTTTCACTTCAAGCAGCTAATAACCTTACTAATGAAATCTGTTGAGCTTCAACCTGTTTTTCACGGTCTGCAGAGAAGTACTTAAAATTAATCATGTAGCCTTAATCGTTCCCTTCCGAGTACTAAATCATTGTCGGAACACCAACTGTCCTCATCTGTTAGGTGGTTTTAACAGCGTCTGCTACAATCTTGCTTTTTCCTGAATATTCTTTAAGCCAGGGCCACCATTTATTGTATATACAAGACACACACCTGATCTTTCAAAGGACAGAAACTTATATTCCTGGGGGAGGGTGAGCCTTACTGGGCCGGGTGGTGACTAGGCGGAGATGACTTAGTGTGAGAATGCGAGGCCTCCTACCCTCCTACCGATGGCCAGATGCAAGACTGTGCGTAGGTTCCCCCTGGCCCGGCTGTGGAAGTGGCTATAAAACCTGTTACTTCCTTATCATCTCCATGTCTCAGTTACAGGGCAGAAATGGGTAATTAATCCTCCGGCAGCAAATAGCAGAGGTGGGCGTGGGAACGAGAGAAAAGAATTTTGAAGAAGTGTAAATAAATGTTTGGCCCTCTCCCTTGCAAGTAAACCAGAAGATGACAGCCCCGCCCACGGTTCAGATTTTTAAAGAGTGTCTCAAAGGGCCCCTGGCACGCACCACAATGTAGTCAAAAGAATACTGAACATCCATCTACTGCAATTCCAAATTTCCTGGGCAAATCAGAGTTAGTCAATCAGCATTGAACTGTTCTCTGGCATCTAGGTAGTGACTGAAACCTCCATTCATGGGAGCAACACCGTATTTTCTCAAGCAGGAACATGGGACCAATCAAAGCTCATTGTGCCATCACTTGTCAGCGTGTTGAGTATCCTCCCAACACAGCCCTACATTTTTAGGCTTTCTAAAGGAATGTCGATTGCTATTATAATGAAAACAACCACCATAAAAAGAGAAATCAAGAAAGTACAGATAAAACCATAGCTGCTACATAGGCTTCTTACACAATTCTGCTGGGGGAGTCCCAGGATCAGATTAGAGACGAGCATGCAAGTACTTGGACTGGTATCAGACGACCCAGTGATTTTTACTCTAAATAAATGCACTAGTTATAAATCTGATCTTTGACATGACATAAGGTATTTTCCCCCATAGTATAACTGGAGATTGTACTTTCTAGGGAAAAATACCATGCATATGTCATATTTATTTTAGCAAATGACTTGCAACAAAAAATAGAAAATTGACAAGTACAAAATAATACTTTAATAAAATATGAATATGAACACAAAAACCATGTAAACATGTTAAAAAGTTTGATATGATACTACAAATGCGATTTTGATCAGATGCAACTGGTAAAATCCTATGCAAAAGCATTACCCAGGAATATTGCAAGAAATCATTTTGCAATACAAGGAAGTCTCAGTACACACTCAGATGCACACAGATACGGAAATCTGAAGTAAAGGAATGTTAAAAAAATAACTTGGGCAGACACAAATAAAACCACCCCATTAGTATATGAGTGATGAACGTTTTTATGATCTTAATTACATTTAAGTATTAAAAAATGCCACTGATCTCACAGTTTAACTATCCAAATCTTCAAACCTGGGGGAAGAGGTCCACAGCGCAGCCCCACAGGTGACTCCATCGCACTCGCCTGTGTTACCTGGGTAAGTCCTCGTGCAGTTACCTGAAAATCAAAAATCTCAGTTACGACTTTGACTTTCTCTAGGTTTAATGGAAATGTCAATTATAAAATATGTTTTGATTCAAGAGGAGTTGGATAGAGGTTAGAAAAGAATGTTTGATATCAAAATTTCACCACTTATGCCTATACAGAATCAAATCCTATCGACACAAAACAACAGAATCTTTTTGCAAAGTGTATGATTCACAGGGTCTTTACTTTTAATTTGATGCCAAATGAGTGGTCCGGTCTTTCATTGTACTAACCGGAAGGTTGTTTGAGAGAATTAGAGCAGGCACACGTCATCTATGTCAATAGTGCCTCTGGGAACCTTTGACAAAAAAGGTCCCGCCTCCCTAGAAGTACTCACGGGGCACTGAAGTCACAGCGAGTGGCATCACAGAGCCATTTATCTATTTGGGTCTGTAGAACATCTGTAGCAGCTCCAAACCTCCGAGGGATTCAGGACTTTGAAGGTGTGGGCTACCATGTGAAGAATTGCATCATTTCACTATCTTAATCCTGCAACTGGGCTTCGAGACAATGTCTTGTTGTGACTGTGCAGGTGAGGCCTGGACTTGCCAGGCGCCTGCGGATTCTCTCATCTCATTCTGAGCATACCGACTAAGCACTGTGATTATAAAGGAGGGGGGTGACTTCTCAAAGACAGGCTATTTACTAAAAATAAGCCTTTAAAAAAAACTGATATTAGGTCTAAGAATTTTAATAACGACTTTAACGTCAGCCAGGAGACTCACAGGTGTAAAACAATACAAGCTAATCAGAAGGCATTCTGATCCAGGGCTGTACCTTCTGCCTTGGTATGCGGTCAGCTCTTCTTGAAGGATGGATGCTCTCTTTTGCAGAAAGTTAACCTAGAAAAGACACCTTGTATGAGCAAGGCACATGTGGCTTCAGTGGCAATAATGTGCAAATAGTATGGTAGGACTTTATTTAAATTCAGACGGTTCCCTAGATAAAACTCAAAGGATTTGCTGAATGTCAATGTTGTGTTTTTTACATGCAGTCACATAGCATCTCTACTGAAAACCCATCAGAATTCAGAATCAAGTTCAAACTCCCACTGCAGAGCCATTTTGATCTGGCCCCAGCCTTGTGGCTTCACCTTTCCTCACACCCTTCCCAGCATCACCACCTTGTCTTTCATACTCTTTTGTTGTTTCTCTTTTCGGAATGGTTGGCTATCTCCTATCCATTGTCCACTCTTCGGTTCAAATGTCCCCTCATCTACTGAATTCTTTGACTCCTTCCCAGCTGCTCTCCTCCATGTCCCTGTACTAGCTCTATCATGAGCATGTCTCACATGGTCTTGTGATTGTTTTCATATCTCTCCCCAGAACCTGAGAGCTCCTTGGGGGCAGGGATGATGTTGCCTCATCTCTGAATCCCCAGTTGCTTTTACAGGGCTGGGCATGGAGCTGGGATTCACCAGCTGCTTAATGAATGAATGAGTGAGTGGAAAGAAAATTATTGCCCTCTGGAAACCTCAGTTCTTCCTGGGGATTCCCTGAGGTTGGAGAGACAGTATTTTGTAGTGAAACAGTCTGAGCTTTGTTTGCAGTTAGGCCAGCTTGGGTTTAATTCCTGGCTTGGCCTTTGGGGCTCTAGGAAAGTTACCTAAGCTCTTGATGCCTCATCTGCGAAGTGGGGTTAATGACAGCTACTTCCCAAGGTTACGAGAATGACATGAAATGACTAACAGACATTGCCTAGTGCAGAGCTCATAGCAGCTACCACCCCATGCCCCCCACTCTTGGGGGGCTGTGGGATGGAGGAAACTGGGTGGCTTAGCATATTCTCTTAAAGCAGACCTTTATAGTGTGGTTTGATTATTTTGAAGAATAAATTTCTACTACTATTAAAGATATCTATAAATTCAAAAGCACCTTATACGACCAGATAGAAATGGTTTTGGGATGACATATACTATAGCTTGATATAATCAAGAGTCAGTGGTATTTGATCATTTTAGAATTGTTTACTCTTGCCTCTTTGGTCTGAACTGAAACCATGGCAACGGTTGATTCTGAAACATAGTTATGCAAGAGCGTACAGTTGGCAGAATAGAAAATGTGCTTGCAAGAGAGGAAAGCAGTCTTTCTAAATGGGTACGTGTCCAAGTGGTCCCCATGGTTTTGCTTATTTGTAATGTCACCGTGGTCTTAGTTTTATCCAATTGCTCAAATGGACAATTGATAATTTTGACAGATGCAAGGATTACACTGATTCAATTTCCCTTCCCCCACTGTGCTTTGCAACTGGAATTCCAACAATTTTCAAAAAACACAGGCACCTGTGCTTTCAAACTAAATTTGCTCACTATATGGCCTGTGACTCCTCCGCGCAGCTGCCAATTCTGAGGCCCTCACGCAGCTGGCAGCACTCTCTTTCTAGGTCAACATCCAGTTTTAGGAGGCTGAAGTGGCTTTTATTACAGCAAAATGATATGAATGATAACAGAAACCCTGCAGGTGGATATCAGATTTCTTCCTTCCTTTCTATTTTTTCTAAAAAAAAATTCTCCTGAAGGTGCCAGGTCCTCCACAGCTGACCCTATGGAAGCTCTCCTACAAAGTTAATGGGTAAACCACACCTGGAGGAGAGCTTTTCATGTAAATAGAGATCACTTAACCCTTTCTAAGTTAACACTCTCCTGCCGCATTATTTTTAGTTAGGAGCAAGCCCAGCGCAGCTTCTTAGCCTGCAGAAGCCATAGCCTACAGTAGCATAAGGATCGATATATTGAACATTTCATTTTCAGATAAGAGGCTTTTGATGGAGCGAAATAGAAAAGGAACAGCTAAAATTTCCTTCCTGTTTCATCTTACACATTATACATAGCTAACGTGAGTATCCTCAGACTACATCATTTGCTTCAGTTGTGAATAAATTTACTGGGCACCTAGTATGTGACAGGCACTGTTCATGGCACAAAAGAGCAAAGACCATTCTCTCGTGGAGCTTTTCCAGAAAAAAAAAAAGTGTTCTTTTTTTAAAAGTTTCTTAGATAATGATTTGCAAATATATTCTCCTACTCCATGGTCTGACTTTTCAGTTTTGGAATGGTGCCTTTTGAAGTATGAAATTTTAAAATCTGATGAAGTGTAATTCACCGTTTATTTCTTTTGCTGCTCGTGGTTTTGGTGTCATAAGTAAAAAAACTCAAACCTAGCCCAAGGCACAAAGATTACTCCTTCTCCTAAGAGGGTTTCTTCTACCACTTTTCTTCTACCAGTTTTACAATTTTAGCTCTTATATTTAGGTCTATGATCCACTTTGAGTTAATTTGTGTATAACATGTGAGGAAGGACTCCAACTTCATTCATTTGCATGTGGATTATCATCCACTTATCACAGCAACATTCTGTCACTCATTGAATTGTCTTGGAAATTGGTTGACTAAAAATGTAAGGTTTTTTTGTTCTTTTTCTGGACTTTCAATCCTATTCCATTGATCTATCTGTCTATTTTTTGCCAATGTCACACTGTCTTGATTATAATAGCTTTGTAGTAAGTTTTGAAATTGGGAAGTGTGTGATTCTCCAAATTTATTCTTATTTTTCAAGATGGTTTTAGCTATTTTGGGTCTGATCTGTTGTTTTTAATCAATCTCAGCCATAAAAGGATCTTTAGAAATATGGAGGGAACATGAGTGTTGTAGGAAAAAAGTATGTTTTAAATTTCTACGTGTATTAGAAATGGGAATACACAAGCTCTTTCTCATGTTAGAGTTAAAAACCTCATAAGACTAGCAATATATGGAACATATATAAGTATATATGTTTATAGAAGTTTATAGAAGTATAGAGAGGAAACTTATGTTGGAAGTCTTTAAATAACTTTAAATATATAAATATAAATACATTTTATCTCTCATATTATATTTTATAAACTACCAAGAACTACACATTTGAGCAAGAAATATTTAACCTAATTGTTTGAATACCTTATCATTATTCTGCTTTGAATTTGAAATGCATCTTGTCATGTCTAACAACCACATAAAATACACCAGAACAAAAGTGCTTCTGACTTAACTGTGCTTGCTATTCTCTGTACACAGTGAGGAATCAGCACTGTGCAAAGTAATGGCATTTTGGGCCTGGTACCAAAAATAAAAGGGTGAGGCTGTACTGGAATGTAGACTGTGAATGAATAAACGTAACCATGACTGAACTTTTCAATTTCAAGGGGGCTTTTAAGAAAATCTTATGGAGACAATGAGTTCTTAAACTAGTAAGAAAAAGAATTCTAACCACCTCCCACCATCCCAACCAAAAACGAATTCATCCTGGGGAGTAGTTTAATGCTATGACATCACATCGAGTTCTAACATCAATTCCGAATAAAACTTATTTGCGAGTCTCTTTTCAGGATATACACATCGCCTTAAATTCTTGGAAAATGCCTTGATTCTAGTAATCACCTGTGACTTCAGGGAGGAAATGGTGTCTTCAAGTTCTTGTCTTAGAGATGCTGGCATCAGCCCTTTGAATTTTGTTTCATATTCTTGTCGTATGTAAGTTATCTAAAGTGAAAAAAAAAAGAAAGTTGTTTTTGTTTTTTGTTTTTACCACAGAAATGGTTGTTTTGAATTTAACCAATTCCAGCATAGTATCCATTCATCACAAAGGTAAGTTACACGTGGTCGAAAACCAGATAATAAACTAAGAGGAAACCCAGACTGAAAAAGGTACTCAGTCTGTCATTGTGAGTCTGGGAGAGACAGTCCCTGTGACAACACCTTATTTCTTTAAAATCCTTGTTAATGCCATTTTCAGCGCTGGAAAGTAAAATACCTGTTCTCTGCTCTCCTCTGATGATATACATCTATGCTAACCCTGTACCCTTGTCTTAATCAGGATGTGGATTATGATCATAATAAGCTGAGATTTGAGGACAATATGTAGCATGTCACTGGTTTATGACTTGCCCAAACTGGCTAGGTCCCCGGGTGCTTGATATGATCCATATGACTATGAAGATATGAACGGAGAATCTACACTTGTCATTGCGTCTTGTGCTTCTCTGGTTCATGGCTTTCCCTCCAGCTACAATCACACCTGTGCTCAATAACCGATGGCAACAAGGCTGGTAGAGGAAAGGTTGGTGGCTCATTTCATTCATCTCTCTAAAAGCTCAAGATAGAAACAAGTGAGGAAGGTGGAAGAAAAGTCTTTGGAAAAATATGCCTGAGCAGGATGAAGAGATGCATGCATGAATGCGAGAGTGAATGTCTTAATGTCTTTCTCTAGCTATGTTTCTTTATTCATGTTCCTCCTAATTTGAGATGTGACAGAATTTAAAAATTTCTTGCATGGTTCCATGTGTAACTTAACTGAATTTTAAAGCTGAATTGCAGTGTATCCCATAAATGATTCAGTGAACATATCTAGAAATAAGGTAATATACTATGAAAAGATGTGCAACTGAGTTCAGTTAGACAAGTCTATGGATTTACTGAGGATGATTTAAAATTACTAGTCTTTAATTCCCAACTTTTCTTATATTAAACTGAATTAAGGAAGACATGTTTGAATAGTTCATTTCATTACCTACTAAAATCCCAGGGCAAATGTTCTACAATTTAATTTTTCATTTTTTGGCAAAGTTTTGTTTTGTTTTGTTTTGAGATATGTTAGAATCTTGTGATTTATATGTAAAAGAAAAACAGAAATAATGAAACATGATCTCTCCCACTGATGCACTATTTGATTTTTCCCACCTTTTCTTTTTGGACTTAAGTCCCATAGTTTCATCTGTCAGCTGACTCAATGAAAGGCAAACGCAAAGCAAAACACGTGGTTTGTAAATCTGACCTTAAGGGCAGTATTTATCAAGGGCTCACAGTCTACTATTGGGTTGTTGGAAAAGTCATGACACATTTTTGCAACAAAAAACATAGGAAAAAATATGTCATGACTTTTCCGACAACCCAATATATTGACTATATTTTTCTATCACTCAACACTGGCTCTGAAATTTTGAGCTACTACTCTTTTAAAAAAGTTCTCATGTTTTCTCTATTTTGTGTAACCTTATTTGTTTAGAATGTCTGCCCACTTGCCTGTATATTTGAAAGACAACTTGGCTGGGTATAAAAATGATTCAGTGCCGCTGTCTTTCTTTCAATGCTTGAGACATATGTTTCAATGTCTTCTGGCATTTCATATAGCTATGGTGAAGTCTGAAGCCAGGTTAACATTTTTTTCATGTTGAGTGTGACTTTCTCTGCTTGGATGTGCATCTGATTTTCTTTTTCCTTGATTCAGTAGCTTCACTGGGATATGTTTTGGTATTAATTATTCTATATCAATTTTCCTGAGACACTGTGTGTGCCCTTTTTATCTTTAAATTCAATTCTTGGAAGAAAAGTTTCTTCTGCTAGAAGAATATTTGTATTCTATTATTGTTATATGTGTTCATATTATATATGAATTTATATCTGTTTGTGTTTTTCTTCAGGAACATAGATTTTGCTTGTGTAGGCTCTTCTTTGATAATTGTTCATAATTATAATTTTCTCTATTGTTTTACTTTATCATTTTGTATCTATTTTATATTTTCCTTTCATTTTATGAGATTTTCTGATCACCATATTTCCTTGGATGCTTTCAGTTATATTTTTTTTCTATTTTTGTTTCTTCTAATATGGTTTCAATCTCTGTAATCTTTTGGTTTTTGTCTACCATTTTCCCTAAGATCTGAGAGATCACTTTTCATCTCTGTCTGTTGACTTATATCATTTTTAAACACATATCTCTTCTTTTTTCTTCTTCTCTATCTCCCCCCAGCTTTTTTCTTGACAGAGAGATATATGCATATGTTTTGTAAATGCTTTGACATTGTGAAGAACTATTTGTTATAAAGAATTGTAATTTGTCTGAACCTTCTCTCTGTTTCTTGGGTGATTTCCCATTTGATCTACGTTCTTTATTTGCTTTGGGCTCACATTCCTTTTCTCTCTCTCAGTCTAGCAAGGATCTTATGCTGGTTCCTTTCTCTTTAAAAATATTAAACCTCATTTTTTAATGAAACCAACTATTCGATGAATGTTGAGACAGGGAGAGCAAGCTGGGTGGCAGACCACAGCTATGATTTGGTTGTTGTCTTCAACACCCTTTGACCAAATCTATTATTTCATTTGCTCTTGGGGCCCATCTCCCCTCAGTTTTTGAGTACTTTACAGGTCACGAACAAGCATTTAAGCCCTTTGGTTAATGCTCCTCATTTCTCTTGACTCTTGCCTCCACTTTACTTTTCACATTTGATGGTCTCCCTCTATTACAGGCTGGGCCACAGAGAGCATAAAATTGTGTGTGAGCAAGGTTGCTTTTTGAACACCCCTCTTCCTTCCATCACTTTTAAAATTCAGTATGCTATATTTTCCAGCTTTTATTGAGGATCCAGGCATTTCTACTTTCCGTCTACTCCTTTCTTCTTTGTTTTTTAGATTTTGGTGAATCTGAGTGAATTTGAAATGAGCCCTTGGAAAACCTGAAATTACCTCATCTATGAGTGAGACTATCAATTGGGAAAACATTACTACTCTGAATCCTTAAACCCATATCCTGACTTTAAAAATTGTTACACCAAGCAGAACCCTGTTACTTTAATAAGGTCATAAAAGACTTTAACCAATCTGCTTTACTCTATTTGTAAGAGGTTACTACTAGCAAACATTTATTGAGTACTTTCCATGTACCAGATACAATTCTAAGTGCTTTAATAAGTGTTTAGTCCTCTGACATCCCAGCTAGGTGAGCAGAGAGGTAAGTCATGATCTGAACTCAACTAGTTTGACTCTTAAGCGCACAGTCTTAGCCACTATGCTCTGCAGTTTCTCAGATAACCTTTCCAAATGCTGAAATGTTACTTCCACCCCAAAAGGAAAAGGAATTCAGACACAACCAGTTACAGCACTTCCATCCACTACGTGCTGGTGTTCTCCCCAATATAACAGGGGCTGGGGGAGAGGGAGGGGATGCACTATTACTTCCTTCCAGATATCTAGCATTTGCCTTACTTTTTTTTATGACAACAATAACAACAAGGACAACAATAATTGATTCTAATATGGTTTGGTTCCCCATATTTTCCCACTGGTTTAAAATTTTAATTTATAAAAGATTTATATATAAGACAACTTGAAAGAATCTATACAAGGGCAATGTACACACCGACCTACAATGAAAGTTCCACATAAGCACATATTTTAAAGTCCAGCCAGTGAAGAATATATCTAAGTTTGTCACTTGGCAAAATGAGAAAGAGGAAGAAAAGAATTAGCGTATATTCCTTTACGTCACTTTTGACTCTGGTACCATTTTTCTATCCCTAACTCAGACCCAGGATGTATTTGAGGGGAAATAATGAGGAAGTAACAACATTTATCTATAGACTAATCACAAACTATTAACTGCTAAATACAGCACTCTCCTGTCTGCCTTCCCATATTTGAATCGATCTAAGCAAAACGTTTGATGGACATATAATTCCTTTTACTGAGGGAGATAAAAATTTTTACATGTAAATTAATGTTATTATTAGATTTGAATATTAATTTTCATTACAGCATCTGATTATATTAGTGGGTGATGTTTATTAAATGCAGAAGAATTCAAAGACTATCTTTACTTAAGTACTTCTGGGAAGGAATTTCCAAAACTGTTGTGGCTCGCTTCCATCCTACCTCACCACTTCCATTGCCCTCAGAAAGCACTGTGTATAATTATCTGCTCTTCCACATTCCTCAACCATATCCACCAAATAGACATATGCCTCCCTCTCTCCACAATGGTTACTTTTCTCTCTACTTTCCTTCATCTTCTTATGGTTAGCAAGAAAAATAAGGAAAACCAGGACACCATGACAAACAATGATATTTCTGTAACATAATAAGACCCCTGGAAACTGAGTGGAAATGGTGTATGTATAACATGGTACCCATGTGACCAAAGATAGCTGTGCTATGCACCATGGCAACGGACTGCTCACCTTTCCCACTGAGGCAGAGCACTGACAATATTTCCTTTAATGTTTAAAATGGAGCATGAAGATCGAGAACACCCATAACAAGAGTTTAGCATTACAATTAAGTAAAACATACATCCTGGGTAATCAGACAAATATTCATTTGCATAAAGGAGAGTCTACAAAGTGTATAGAATATGTAGTTGACTTGAACTAAGAGGGACTGTGGGGATAAAAACGTGAGATTGAAAAAAGTGAACCTTGGAAATCTGTAATTTCATTAAAAATATGAAGGAAGAAGTCAAACATATTTAGTGGTATTTTTATTTGAAAAACACTATCAATTAGTCATGTTAATATGTCAAAATTATGTCAACCTCCCGTTGTATAATAAAACAGTAAGTAAGATGGAAGCAGATAGCTTTGTATAAACCACTTAGCGCCAGTGCATCAAACACAAGTTATTTTATTGTAAGCTTCAATGCACCCAACACTGAATTCACTTTTGAAGAAAAGGGGAGGTGGAGGTCCCTTACTGAGTTGTCACTGGTGAGT